GAGGTCTACTACTCGGCCGTAGACACCAGGGCAAGCCTCTGCCAAGCTTGCGCAAGTCTGTGCAACTTCACGTTCTCGTTCCAATTGCTGTTCTGTGGCTGTGAACTCTTGGAGCACATCGAGAAGCTGTTGTCGTTCTTGCTGCAGTTGTTGCTTTTCCTCTCCACGGCTCTGTACCGAACTACGCATCTGGACGAGTTGTTCCGAACGCTCGTCCTTCAATGCTGCACCACGCTTCACTGCGGCACCGGCGCCACTCTCTGCCTGGAAAAACCGCAGAGTTCAGAAGTTGATCTAGATTCCTACGGCTGAATTATGCTGAATTTGTGCGTTGGCTTTCCTCTACCAGTTTTTAAAAGCAGCTCGGATTCTTGGATGGTGGCTTCCTGTCTTATACTCTTCCCATCTACATATTTTCACATGTTTCACGATCTCTTTCATGGTGATCCATTAAAGGCAAAGCCAGTAAAAATGACATAAGCGAGCGTCGTGAGTTGTATGTGCAGAAGCAATCAAGGATTATTTCAGAGTCTTAAGTCTTAAAGAGAAAACTCTCTTCAAACACCATCAGACACGTTCGATCATGTTTCTGACACGTTAAGGCTTTACATTCTGCTTTACCCGTTTTGTGGTCTAGCCTCACTGAGCTCTTGCAAACGCTTTCGGAGGTGACTCTGGCGTGCAGTGGCATCTCGCACATCACCTTCAGCTTGAATTCGTTCTTGACCTGAAATTTGGAAAGCGAGGCAAAGCACTGTGTATCATGCATAATCATTCATCATATTCTTTTCAATGGCATCATGCACTGAAAGAACGAAATCATCTCTGCAGTACATTGTAAGCTTCTGGCGGACAACCTTGATCTGATGGTCCAGCTGGCGCAAAGCATCTCCACTTGCCGCGGTGATCTTCTCGGTTTCTTGCTTGACGCGTTCAAACTCCTGACGAGCTTAGTTTGAGTCAAAAATCGTATGAGGTGACAAGAACAGAATCAATTGTGCCACAGGCACCTGCCCTGAAAGCCCTGCTTTGGCACAATTCTTTTTTATCCTTGATGCGTTGAGCTTTGATCCCCTTTCATCTATCGAAGCATGACTTCCATTGAAAGAGATTTCAAGAGGCTCCTGAAGCTGGTCGGGTGTGAAAGTGACGGCGCGATCTGCCAAGCCTTTCTTCAAGGTCTCTTGCTGAGACTCCAGCCGTGCTTCTTCTCCCCCTGCAAAATTCGCTCCAAGGCGTCCAAATGTTGCGAGGCTTTTCCGCATTCTATGTTGTTCTATGACTGACTACTTCTGCAAAATGAATCACATCGGAATGGTATGTGCAACGAATTCAAGAGTGGGAGAGCAAGGGAAAGCAGACGAATGTGGAAGGGAGGCAGAACTCGCTGGTTCCTCCGATGGTAAAATGTCAATCATCGTTAACTATTTTGCAAGCTTTTCCACATCGCCAATGCTAGTTTGACTTCAGGAATCTGAACTCTCGAATCAGCGAGCTGTTTTGTTTCCATCTCTGTCCGTTGCTAAGGTGAAAACTGATAGCTGCGAGCTGTTCTTGGAGCTTGTTGCGCCTGAACAGCTCGATGCTCTGCTGGCTTTTGTAGTCTAGAACTCACTTCAAAACGCCCAATTGACCCGGTGCAAAGTCTGCAAAGTCTGCCTCTGTCCGTCTTGTTCTGCAGAATGAGAGAGTTCCTCCAGCCTGGCAATAATTGACTCCGATTGACTCCAAGTTCCAAGGGCGTCCCAAGACAGTTCCAACATCCTCGTAACACCTAGCGTAGCTTGACTGCAACAACTCTAGCAACAGTGCCACAACTCCCCCAAATTGCAGCTAAATATCAAACCACTTCTTAAATCGTCTTTAAAAGGTTCCTCTAAGTGTCACCAAATGTTTGACGGTCTGTCTTTCGAAAGCTGGGAAAGCAGCAATGGACCACTGGACCCACTCCAAGCTGCGCCTCTGCTCCAGAAAGGAAAGTCTGCTCTTGATGGTGACGCGCTCAGGATGGAGGCGCCTAAGCAGAGAAAGTCCAACCAGTATCGACAACCGACAGTGCGACACACCGACAGCAACTGACAGCAACTGACAGCAACTGACAGCAAGTTCAGTGCCTGTGTACATCAAAACTGCTATCCTTGTATGTCTTGTAAGGAGGTGCCAGGCTTAAATTTATGGATAAGAACAAGGCCTTTGAATTTTCAAAGGCATAAGACGTGCACGGGTTTCTTGAGTTTCTTGAGTTTCTTGAAGGCCCCGGCTCAACCTTTGCCTTCACTGCAGCCATCTGCTTTTCAACCTCGCAGGACAGCCTTCTCAACTCCAGGCTTTGCGGAGCTTCGAGACAAGCACTGGACACGGCAGAGAGCAGCAAGACAGCCACCGCAGCCACCGCAGCCTGCTGTGTCGCAAGATGTGCTTTGGCTCTTTGGCGATCCGCTGCCTCCAAACGATACGAAGTCAAGCTCTTGTCACAATTTCAGCAGAATGCTGCAACTGCTTGGCTGCTTGGTCATGCAGCTAGCCAACCAGCACAATGTCCTGCCTCCACCTGTCCTTTCTCGGCTTCCATGTGCTCACGAACTTCCTGGAGAAAGCAATGCATTGAGCTGCAGAAATTTACACTTCACATGAATTCACGTGCTAAATCCTGATGCAGAGCCTGATGCAGAGCCTGATGCATACATAATTCAGTTTCACCTGCAGCGAGCCTCGCAATCCTTCACAGCCACAGAGCGAGCGTTGGAGGCACCCTCTAGCAGAGAGAAAACGCCTTGGCGCTGGAAGCTGTTCATTGCACAGAAGAAGGAATGCGAAAGTGTGAGCCACTTGTCAAAACATGCCTACACATCTCCTACACATATCCTACAAATCTGCACATCTGTGCAATCTGCAAAGATCTGCAAAGTACTTGAGGGTCAAACCATGCAATCGAAACAGTGTGTACTCCCGCTGCATGTCCTGTCTGACCGTCTTGAGATGCCTGTACCTGACGGAGTGTTGACGGAAAGATAAAAGTAAATTCGAACTCCCACAGCCAAACAGCAGTATTGACTCATTGCTGAAGCGATTCACTACTGCAGGCGGAAGAATGAAACATGTTGAATCATGTTGAATCATGTCGGTGCGTTTGACTTGGTGCATGGAGCTCCATGGAGCACTCATCAGCCTCTTCCTTTTGATGTGAAATTCGCTTGCGCTCGTTCATGGCGTTGCGCTTCTTTGCAAACAAGTATCTGCGCACAGAAAAGGGGCTCGATGGTGGTCGAAAACTGTGTGCATGAAGTCGCGATGAAATCCAAATACCAAGACTGCCTGGCTTGTTCTTCAAGCTTCGTCTTGTCCGCAGATAGGCTTTCATATTCCTGGTTTGCCAATGGTTCCAGTGATACCTTTGATCTTGAAGTGTATCTGCAATCCATCACTGTAGACCAATTACCATGAGATCATATGTGCAAGCTTCCAGTTTGAAGTTTGAGAAGGTGCCAGGCACGAAAGTGGATAGGATGAAAGTGGAATAGGGTAATTACTGCTTTGATATCCCGGATGAGTCAGGGATGTTTAAATCCTCCACAGATAGGTCTTTCGAAACATTGGCCTACAGATCCATTCTGCCAGCGACCACTTCCACCAGCCTGACGGAATGCCTCTGATCCAGATATTTGCTCGAAGAAAGCTGTCAGCTCCTGCAAGCACGAAGAGTACGAAGCAATCAGAACATAGTCCGAAAGAGTTGGAGATAGTCACAGATAGTCAAACATAGTCTGTAACATCTGTAACATAGTTGCTGCTTCCAATCTATGCTTTCGTTTGTCCCAACTCCACATGGGAATATGGCCCTCCTTGCCCTGGCGTTGTGCAGTCGCTTCCACGTCTCCTTGGAACACCAAGAAGTTCCTCACCTGTCAACCCGGACAAATTGAAGAAATGATGTCAAATTAAAGCAGCTAAGCAACTCAACCGTCTGTGAAATAAAAAAAGATCACGCTTCAAGGTTCACCTGCCTTGGACAGAATGTTGATTCCTTCCAATCGCTTTTGGTACTCTGCTTGAGAGACCGTAGCATTGTTGACCTTTCAAGCAGCTGAAGCAGCAGTCTAATTCCATCAAAAATTAGCCATACAGTAAAGCATTGGTAAAGCACTCCAAACTTTTTCAAACGGTCCAAACCTGGAACTTTGCTTCGCCAGTGCGAGAAATGGTGCGACCTCAGTTTCCGTCGAACATGAAGCCAAGCATGTCTGGATGATGAATAGCCAATAGCATACAAATGCATTAAATGCATAAAAACATTCCCTTCGCGAGGGACGGAACACGAGTACCTGCTCGCCGTCAGCTTGGTCATCCACCTAAAAGCATCGCACCGGCAACCAAGATCTCAATCTCGTGATGCTTCCAACCAACGTCTGGGGGTATAGCGTAGGTAAGCTCCACATATGCGGTACGCCTCGGATTCTGCAGTGTCACTCTGCTGCTGGAAGCATTGTATTCCTTCCACAAGGATTCATCAGGTCCGAAATATCAAGCGCATCCGAGCAGGAGACTGATTCTTTTTTGGATCCTGCGAGTCATACGAGTCAGAAGTCAGGCAGTCGCCACAGGCTGCCACAGTCTGGTCCAGTGCCACAGTTTGGTCGTCCTCTTTCTCTGTGCGGTAGACCAAGTCACGTGCACGTTCTCCCCGGAGCTGCCGCGCCTGCGGAAATGGAATGAAACACTGAGCATCACTGAGCTGCCAGGCGAACAACGATGCAAAACAAAACGAAAAGGAAGAAAACATGCGAAGTGCATCGTCAATGATTTGCCTGCACGCCAAGTACAAAACTGATGGCATCCATGAGATTCGACCTGCAAGCAGACTAGCCTGGAAAAGTGACATGCACTGTTCATGCATCGCCAGTATTGTCAACGGCAATAAGGTATCCTATTGTGCATTCTCCATTTGCGCCCTTGAGGAGAAAGAGAGAAAGAGAGATGTGCAACGAGGACCAGGTAGAAAAGCCATTTTCAGGACAACCGCAAAAGATCGCAAAAGCATTTATGTCAGGTCAGTGTGGAAATTGATGATCTGCTTACAAGATAGGGGCACACTAAGTCACTTGGAGCCGCGCTTGCCAGCGCCGTTGGGCCCGATGATGCAAGTGAACTTCCTCCGAACACGGGAAGGACGTGAAGCAAGTGTTCTGCGAGGCTCGTGTTACAATGCTTCGATGAGCACTCGCCACATCTCCAAAGATGTGTCCAATTGCTTTTGTCGACGATCCAATTCGGTGTGTTGAACAATTGTAACAAGCTTTCAACTGGCTATCAGCAACTGGCTATCAGTCTTTTGACTCTGCGCAGCTTTCACCCGCTTGGACCTTGATTGTTGGAACAACAAAAAAGTGCGGCCTGAAAGGTCCGATTTTCACCTTGCCCTGGTACGACCTGGGTCACTGCATACAGACTGTCAACACATCTCTTAAACATCAGCAAAGACATGCAGAGACGCCAAAAGCGTGAGCTATAAGCCCTATAAGCAATCAAACTCTCAGTCTGTCTATCAGGAGTCGAAAAGAGTGACGGACTTGAAGTTCTCGACAATGATCTCGTGGACTCTGCCCATCGTGTTTTCAAATTTGCCTGGAGAGAGGTTCACCCAATTTCACCAAAACTCTCTTGAAAAGGTTAACATATGTTAGCATGTAGCCGTGATTAGCCGTGCCTGTGTGAGGGATGATGCTGCTCGTGCAGTACAGTCCAGTCGACTTGAGCAATGGATTGTTGAGAAAAAAAACGCAGAATAAACGAAAAAAAGAAAGCGCACAGGACTTCATCACAAAACAGTCAAAGCCGGAGGTGAGTCTGAAGAAGCCTACAACCTTCTGTTAATGGGTCTGGCCTTCTTGTCGCGAAGCTTTTGCGGTCTCCAGTATAGATGAAATACAAGTGTGTTGTTTCTACTCTAAGCTCATGCCTGCTTCTAACGAAATGTATTTGTAGTTGATGGTCTGAGTCTACAAAAATTGTTGCTTTTTGATGCTTTTTGTCGCCAATCAAACACAATGCAAAATGGAACCCAAAGCGTCTTTTTCATGCGGAGATTTGCATGACAAGCGTTCCATTGCGATGCTTACCGCCAAATGACTTTCTGCCATCCCCTTTTAGAACGGCGTCACTTTCCTCGCTGTTTCAAGGCGAACCATTTGTCAGGAACCCAGTCACAATACATCAATATTGTAAGCACAACAGCACAACAAGCCCTTTCAAAGCTTTCTAGTGCTGAAACAAACAACACCACATCAAAACAAAGTTACAGAGTTACAGTATACAGTATTTATATGTTGGATGTACTGTTTCACTTCTACGCTTCCAGCCTTTCCTGGTTTCAACCTGATCGTGAACCGTCAACGAGCAAGTTCGTAGAAGTGAGATTCATTGTTTGCTTGGCCATTTCGAGCTGGGAGGAGGCTCTTGTCCTTCGAAGCCACCTGCCGACGCCATGACGCAGAGACTCTTCCAACTTGGGAGGCCAAAGACATCCGAGGACATCCAAAGACAATGTCTGGCACTGAGGCCTTTACTGTTTCAGTCACTTCTTTCCGTGTTAAGCATTCACTCACATGTGAAACTTCAGGCAACAAATCCGGCCTGAGACACCTTGAGAATTCCACTCGGTCTGTCCCACGGATTGTGAACAGATGGAGGTCGGACATTTTCAGACCTCTTTTCAGACCTCTTTGGTGCAGTCTGTGAAGTCTTGAAGAGCTCTGTGACTCTGGACTTCGCAGACTTCGGTGTCTGGGGTTGGAGCAGGTCACGCAAAGGGGGTGGAGGATTGCGGCAAAGTTGATTCACGACCATGCGCCCTGCAGCATATCGAGCCTGCTGAACATTTGGCACTGGATGCTGACTGGCTGAAGTCAAGAGAATACGATTTGCACACTTTTGTTCTTCCAGCCAATCTGTTGTCTGGATTTCTTGCTCCTTGATCATTACCTCAAGTATGTCAACCTGTCCCCCTATGGACAGCTGGTGATCTCGCAATCTTTGACATGGGGCAGCAGATCGCCTTGGTATGGGCTGAAAAACATTCAGATAGACTCAGACTCAGATTAGACTCAGATTAGTAATGATTAGTACCCAAGTGCGCTTTCTTCACGACATCTGTGACTGTGTTCAACTTCGGCATGCGCTTGTTCTGAGACCTTGGCCCTGCATTTACAAGGTCGAGACACTTTTCGGCTGACCTGTTGTATTTTGATGTATTTTGGTGAGAAGGATAGCCGCATAGCCAAACTCAAAAGCAAAATACACTGGGTAGATCTGGGAATCTGGGTGCCACAAAGCAAAACTGCTTCCTGAGGCTTGGACAGCGTCTCATTGAAAGTCTTGGGGCGAAACGAGGCCCGATTCCTTGGACGGCAATGTGATATAGCATGCTTCAGGATGCTTCTTACGTCCTGGAACGTCCTAGTATCGAGTCCGAACCTTGCAATGCTACAATGTCACCTTCTATTCAGTTCCTAATAAGAAATCGAAACAATAAATAAAAACAAGAACATGTTTCAGGACAAACTGCGCTGTCGAGGTCTGTTGCAATAGCCCTTCCATAGGTGCGATTGCAAGTTCCAAGCTTACCCAAGCCCGGTGGACGAAACCAGAAACCACACTGGGGGGCTGTATGGGTCAACACAGAACAAAATCAGGTGAAGCAACTGTCGCTCAAAAAACACCCCTCTCATGATATTCCGACACGTGCTTCACTCTGCCAACATGCAATTTAGACAAAGAACAAACATGCAACCAAGATGATCCGAGGTGATCCAAGATGATCCAAAATGTTGTTTTGAAAGAAATTATACAGTAGCTGTCAGTCGCTATCAGCTCAGAAATCTCAGCTCCTGGGATCTGATGCGCGTCTGCGCGGATGCGTGCAGCGGGGAAGCAGCAAACGCAAACGTTGCAAGCAAAGCATTGCTCACAACGTAAGGAAAGCAACGTGAGTCTAGTGAGTCTATATGATATAATTATATATACAGAGAGAGAGAGAGATAGAGTTACCAAGAGTTACTAGTTGCTTCTTATACGAGAGAGAGAGAGAGAAGGAAAAAAAACTAGTTCCTGATAGGAGATTGAGAGAGAGAGAGAGGGAGAGCAATGCTACTCGTTGTTGGTACTCACATGTGTGAACATTCCTTCGAAATGATTGAAATAGCAAAAAAAAACTGTCAAACTAAAACTAGCAACAAGCAACCTGCTTCAATGTAGAGTCCCCACACAAGCAGCAAACTTCCAGGCGTCGCTATCTCCATCCGAACACTGGAATAACGGTGCAGGGAAAAAATAATTGTATGTGTGTATGTGTGGGTGCCCTTTATGGTCCCCATCGCGAGCAACAGACATCTTGCCAACTCAGAAACTTGATTCCCACAACTGTCCATTGAATCTCCCTGTACGCCAGCCCTTGCGACCCACTACATAGTTTGAACTTCAGGTCACGTTACAAGAACTTCAACACAACCCCACTCCACCAAAACAGAAAGCAAACAAAGAGTCTAGGCCTAACGGCCTAACCCAAAGAACAACCACTGAACATGGAGCACTCAGCAAGAAAGGGTGGACAATGCTGTTGAATCTGACAGTTTCAGTCTCAGTACAATGCTCTTCTGCCAGCCGTCTCAGTTCGATCTCTGCTTCAGCCTGTTTTGGCCAGTCATGACACCAAACGAAGGCAAGAGAGAAAGAAAGCGAATAAAAGAGAAGTGCTAATGGAAGGAAACCGCATAGAGTCTGAAGGGCTTCAGTGACTTTTGCTTCCATTCTTTACATTGGCATAGTGATTGAGGGCAACGGCACGCCTCACACTGCACTCCAATCACATGAATTGGCCTTGCAGCTGGAGGTAGAAGCTCAAACACTCAACTGTTTCCATAATCTCAGCAGAAGTTCTCAGGTTCTGTCAGTTGTCTTTTGTTTTGCGAGCGGATCTCTGCACGACAGTAGTCCTCACTGCATCAGGATCAGGATCTGTCATTCAGGGAAAGCATCTTTGCCAGCATGATCAATCATTCAAGATCCGGACGGTATCGGCATACTTGGGGAAACCAGAGGTCAAAAGGTATATCGCATCCTCAGATGTTTTTGCAAGCTAAGCAGCTAAGCGCGCATGCTCACAAAAGGGGGCAATCACTGCTGTCTTGTTGTATACTGTATACACAATGGCACCAGCACTTCTCTCAGGCTTTTCTCACAGAGGTGACCGGCATAGAGCAACATTGAGCTCGCATCTGCATCACTTTGAAGTGCCCAGCAAAGAGCCTTCCCAGGGCAGAGAAAAAAAGACGCTTCCTCCCTGAACGCCTTTCAAGACACGTGGACAGAATGACCCTGGTGTGCGTGCAACAATACTCTGTTCCAGTCGATCCATAGTCACACCCAACTTCGCCTGCAAGATGCATGTCCTCTTGGCGGGTTGGAGCTTGTCAACAAAGTCTTCAGCCTTACACAATGCATTTAGCCAAAGCAGAAGGAAAAGCTAGGGAGAGCGGGAAAGCATGATAAGGCATCTATCGTGGCCTGCACCATCCCCTCAAATTTAGGCAAGACTCTTCTCGCAGCTTCTGCGCCACTGGCGGTACCAAATGGTCCTACTGGCTTCCACGTTCATTCCGCTGATGGCAAGCAACTGAGATGTTGTACTTTGTTGCAGAAGCTTTACTGTACAGCTCCTCCCATGCAACCACCTTCCCTCTCGAGAAGGAAATGATGTTGAACCTCCAAGAATAATTCTGTTTGCTTGCGAGGACCATCGTTACCAACATGAAATTCACAGCTACTGCCAGGCCTGCTTTTCGCAACTAGGAAGGAGTACCTTTTCACATCTTTCATCGACATCTTTATCATCTTTCATGTTCTGTTCAGAAAGGATTTGAAAGACGACTTGCAGAACTTCCTGGCTGACAAGGTAGAAGCTCGGCCCTGGACATTAGCCGCTTGACAGCTGCTTTGATGAAGACGGAGTACTGGCACCAGAATTGCACAGAGTTCTTACGTTGCAATTTCCTTTTCGAGTTTCACTCTACTAACAATCAGAATAGCAACCTTCGCAAGTGGTCGAAACATGCTGCATGACCGGACCTTACCCACCGCACCAGCCATGTCAATGACTAGCAAAGGGCGAAAGCCTTCCACCTGTGATGGAACCGCAGATAGAAGTTGGCGAAGATTCAGGATGCCAGTTTTTTACAGTTGGACAATGCCTCTCAGTGCACGCACCTGGCCAAAGCTTTTTTCGTCAACTTCTTGCAGCAAAGTGCCGAATTCCTGTCCGCACCACTCCACCTGCACCCTGTCTTGCGTATTGTCTTTCATTGACCTCTTGCGCTGAACATATTCATGTGGTACAGTAGATTATCATGCATGTGGTATAGTAGATTATCGATTGAAGGACCGTGACCCAAAAATGCTCGTTGCTGGCTGTCCTTGCCCGGCTTGTAGCTGTAAGGAAGCCTCAGACCCAATTAATAACAGCGGAATTTCAAGTCTTGGAAGGTTTCTGTGGCTGAATATAGCGTGTTCTGCTTGTGTCTGCTGTCGCACATGTCCTGCTCGATCACCACACTAGAGCCGGATATGAAAAG